TTTTGTTTGAAATAATGTGAAGGAATAAAAGTAAGAATACCTTCAAAAATATAAATCTCGACTAAGGGAGAAGAGAATTATCCATTGTAGTTAGATAATCATTACATTTTCTAGTACAGTGATGGCGAACCTTTTAGAGACCGAGTGCCCAAACTGCAACCCAAAACCCACTTATGCATCGTCGGGTGCCAGGTGGGCGTGGCCCATTGGGTGGGTGTGGCCCATCAGGTGGGCGTGGCTGCGGCGGTAACGGCAGACTGGGTGAGACTAAAAAGTTCAATCAATCAATTCCAACTTTGCGAGATCTTTTTTTTTCCCACGAGAAGTTGAAATTGACTGCTTGATTGAACCTTTTTTCTTTGCGCATGGCGGCGGAGGCCTAAAGCGAAAAGGTTTTATAAAACCCAGCTGAAGGCCTGGGACTGGGGCGACGGCGCGAGTGCCCACAGAGAGGGCTCTGAGTGCCGCCCTCTGGCATCCGTGCCATAGGTTCGCCACCACTGTTCTAGTACTATCTGCATTACTTTTCTTAGAATAGCTTAATTGTTCCTGTAGCGGCTATTATTAAAATAATAAACTTGATCATTATTTTGGCATTCACATAGGACCTGTTTTTAAAATTATCTGGGGTAGCAAACAAGAATGTTTTGCCTGATTGTTAAAGTGAAAATTTTAGTAACTGTTGAGAAAATGGGTTGATTCATCCTATTTGAGTCTAGAAGTTAATAAAAGTAAAAAATTAGCACTGGAGACTGAGATAGAATATCTTTAGAAGACAGTAGTCTGTGGAAATATCTGTGATTGGTTTACTAAAGAGTGATACGTTTCTTCAGGATAGTTTCTTCTTAGAAGATCACTCTTGCTGAGAAACTAATGATAAGATACTTCAGGATAATTAATGTTCTTACAAGGTCACTCTTGCTGGGAAACTACTGTTTATCGGAATTCCAAAACATGATGAGACATTCTAATACATAAGCTTATTGGCTTTGCCAACAACCAATCTATTCAGTTTGAGAATTTACTATATTTCTGCTTCTCCATTCTGTATAACTAATAAATGTAATTCATCAGATTAATCATGAAGGAATAACAGGTTCTAACCCGCTAAATCCACTTGCTGACTCAGGAATTCTGGGAGTTGAAGTCCATGAGTCATAAAAGAGCCAAGGTTGCCTACCCCTGGATTAAGTGATTGAATGCGGAGATAATAATCTTCACATTTCCCCCCCCCCCCGCCCATATTATACAATGAAAATCCAACAACAAAAAACAGGTTTAATGCAGTGAAAATTATTGCTTTACAGAATTACCTTCAATGTTTCATCAGGTTTCAGCTAAAATTTGTTTTGAAATTATTGCATAGGTCAATAATTTCATCATTTGTTGGAGTTGAAAAACCATATTTCCTCCCATTTTTGCTAAAGTTCTTTTGGAGGAAGATTAACAAATATCCATGTTTAGCTAGTGTTCTTAGCTTGCATTTTAAATGTTAGCTTGCTTTTCTCTGCAATTGTGAATTAAATATTGCCAGTTATATCTGAATAGTCCTGGGCATACAGATTGAAATCTGTTTTGCAGTTATGTTCTTGTTTTTTTTCCTCCCTTGCCCTTTTTTATTTAACGTTTGGCGAAAATCCTTATATTTCAGTTAATTTGTAGAACTTTCTTCTATTCTTAATTTTTGAGTTTATTTTTTACTTTTTTGACCCAGATTTGCTATATTGCCATTTAAATACAGCTAAATACAAGAATGGCACATTCCTTTTTCTTCTTGTTTTGTGATTTTTTTATATTGAAAGGCAAGTAGTCAAATTGAAAAAGATGAATCTGAAATTGCTTTTTTGCAGGAGATACACGTTCCTCCTAAACATCTATTTTGAAAACATAAGTTTTTTTAGTTCATATTAAAAAGTTCTGTGCCATTCAGAGCTTGAATGGGGTGCATAGAGAATGAATAATTATTTAATTTTCTGCTTTAAAGATGTAATTTTAACAAATTGTTATTTTTTGTATAAAACATCTCCTTCAGGTCAGTTTCTGATAACTTCCTGTCTGTGCATTTTTCTGCCAAAAGTAGAGAAATATGTTATTCTGTGACCTGAAATACTTTTGAAGTATTCCATACCAAAGATGGTGATAAGATGGACCATTTGAAAATGTAATTTATTGTAAAATAGAGATATGACATTCACAGGGCCACAATCTGAAAAGTTATAGTATCTATATAACTTACTTTGATTTGAGATGTAAAGGAGGATACCAGAATATAATCAAACAAATGCAGCATCCATATTCAAAAGAAGGCAAGATTCATTTATGAAGGCAGGTTCAATGGATCAACATTAAATTTGTACATGTAAAGTATTACAAATCTGAGAATATAATTGAGGACCGGGAGTTTTGATGTACATGACTGATTTTATCTCTGGAACAACTTTGTGAGGCACACTGGAGTATTTCTCAGATAAGTCACCTAAAAAACATCCTTGGCTAAGTGTGGAACTGAACCTCCTGCGTCAATGGTTCTAGACCAGTGATGGCAAACCTTTTAGAGACCGAGGGCCCAAACTGCAACCCAAAACCCACTTATGCATCGTCAGGTGCCGGGTGGGTGTGCCCCATTGGCTGGGCATGGCCCATTGGCTGGGCATGGCTGAGCTGGTAACGGCAGACTGGGTGGGACTAAAAAGTTCAATCAATCAATTCCAACTTTGCAAGATTTTTTTTCCCGCGAGAAGTTGAAATTGACTGATTGATTGAACCTTTTTTTTTTTTTTGCACACGGTGGTGGAGGCCTAAAGCGAAAAGGTTTTATAAAACCCAACTGAAGGTCTAGGACTGGGGCGACGGCACGCGTGCCCCCAGAGAGGGCTCTGAGTGCCGCCTTTGGCACCCATGCCATAGGTTCGCCACCACTGTTCTAGACCAAAAGCCTAGCAATTAGCTAGGACAGCAAATTAGCCCAAATTGCTTACTTTGCTTTTGTTCAATAGCAGACAGTTAAACCACATGGCAAACTTCTTTCAAAACTAAGAGGAATTTCAAAAGTTCTTTGTGATGTGGTTTGGAGGTAAAAAAGAAAAAAGCTTAAAATAAAGAAAAAAGCTTAAAATAAAGAGGTAATACCTTAGGATATTTGAATGTCAAAAAATATGTTTTCTATATAATTAAACATAGCAATACAAGGGAAATAGTGCTTATCACAGAAAACTAATTTAAAATACAAAGTCACAATTCAGTGATTGAGAGCACTAGCTTCTAATTACAGTGAACCTATCTTAAGTCAAAGTGTTCTGGACTAAACTTAAAAATGAAAAGTATTAAATGTTCTGTTCTTACAACTAGTCTTTGCTTAACAAAGCTAATTGGGAACAGAGACTATTGTCAAGCGACATGGTTGTAAGAAGAAAAGCCATGTGCCTGTGCTGTTTAGCAACAGCAATTCCAGCAGCAGTCATTTAGCTAGGCATAGGCAACCTTGGCTCTTTTATGACTTGTGGACTTCAACTTCCAGAATTCCTGAGTCAGCATGGTTGGTTCAGGAATTCTGGGTATTGAAGTCCACAAGTCATAAAAGAGCCGAGATTGCCTACCCCTGAGTAGGACCACAGAAATCCTTGCAATTTCCTGCAAGTTTCTGCATTGATTTTGCTTGTGGCAACCTGGCAGGGAAGGTTGCCAACCATGATCATGTGACCATGGGATTCTGCAAGAGCCATAGATACGAGGACCAGTTGTAACTACCTCTTGTTCATCACCGTCATAAGTTTGAATAGTCACTGAATGAGTGGTCATTAATTGAGGACCACCTGTACTTATCAGGAAATAAGTTTCATCCCACCTTAGTTTATTAAATATTTACTGAGCATAATTGTTTTAAAAGTTACCAGCAAATTAGCCCCCAAATTATATTAAAGATTTGTAACTACTGGTGAAGTTTAGCATTTTATGAATGATTAAATTAGCAACTAGGCAGATTCTTATGGTTTGTGCACGTCCCTCATTCAAATCTGTGAAGCTCTCCCAAGGATGATTTAGGATTAGTTGCTGTCAATCAGCTAATATAAGAATACAATTGTGTACTTTTAGAAGAATGACAGGATAAATATGTTCGTACAAAATGTATACATAGAATTTTCTTTACTAGCTTACCCTGGTACTAGCACCGCAGTGTAGTTGCAGTATTTATCATAATGTACTTGATTTATTTTTGAGCTTCTAAAGCATTTACTTGGTTGCTATTGGACACCGAATTCTGGGACTTTGATCTCCCTGACTGAAGTAGTTGTTATATCTTTCAGACTGCTGTTTCACTCTGTTTATCTAGCCCACAAGCCACAGTTAACTCTGAGTTAACAGCTTATTAAAAAATGTAGTCTTATGAGTCACCATAGGGGTAGGCAACCTCGGCTCTTTTATAGCATAGCTGACTCAGATATTCTGGGAGTTGAAGTCCATGAGTCATAAAAGAGCCGAGGTTGCTTACCCCCTGCATAGACGATTGTCATTTTTATACAAGATGTAAAAAAAGCATTGCAATTATTAGTGCATTTCTTTTTTAAAAAATCCACAAAAATATGTGTCTTTCTCCTTTTCACTCTAAAATTTCATTTCATAGTTTTTAACAGCAAAAATTATACTGATAGAACTTTATATGGGTGTATGGATTGGCGCTGGCAAAATAAAAGCAAGTTCCTTTTCTTTCCATGCCTGCGTAACCAATGAGATTGTTGTTGATTTCTTCACACACTAGGAAATAACTGCTTGTGATGGATAGATCATGTTACCAAATTGTAAATAGAGCTAAGAAATGTAGATTGATTTAGCTTTAGTACAAAGTAAATATCTATTTTGTGGGTGTGTACCTGCGCACACATCGGCTTAGGAAATGATAGGGAGAATGAAACGTTTAAATCTAGAAGGAAATTGCTGAAAAAAAATGCAGCTGTTCAACAGGATATTCCACACCTAGCAGAGAAGTAGAACTGGGAGGGGGGAAAATGTAAGTGTAATCGGTGAAAACAGCAGTGGATTCAGGTTAGCGTCACTGATGAACAGCAGCATATCAGTGCCATTAGCATTAAAAAGTGTTACGTACTATTAGCGTTTTATATGGGAACAGCAAGATCTTATCTGTGAAGAATATGCTATGTCTAATTTAGACTGCTTGAAAAAATAGACAGCAGCTTCCTCAAACGAAGAAGTTGCAGGAAGTTTCTGTTCTGATTCTGGAGCATTTCAAGAAATCGGCACAACAGTAACTAGGAAATGATAAAATATGAATATGAAAACAAGATTAGTTGCAAAAACGGAAACTTCCTTAGATGTAAGAGGTAAGAAATTAATTTTGAAGGGTTATTTATATTAAGTGGTGCAAGTCAAAATCTTTTCCACAATGAAAAAAAAAAGCATTTTGCTATTTTTTTTTTCAGGGAAAAATAGTATTTTTTTTTGTTTTAATGTATATTTAAAACAAGATGATGAATATGGTATAGTATATTTGTATATTAGGACAGTAAGTGCCATGTTGAGACATACAACTTATCAAGTGTGTTGAGACATATATAACTTATCTTCATGTTCATTTTTAATTGTAATACAATATGTTTCTGTTCCTTACTTCCTGTTTATTCCAATTGGACCCTTCCTTGAATAATTGTACTAGAATAACAATAGACTTTATAATATACTTGATTTCAGTTTTGTAAAAATAATATACAAAAACATGAAGTTTATAAAAGTTATTATTTGATTGTATTTATTAGACCTTATGTCTAATGTTGACTAGACATGGCATCAAATTTATGTTCTATTCATTTAGTTTTATTTTGTTTTACCTAAAACAAAACTAGGAAGGCTATTGCTAATATTGTGTAATGAATCTTTTATACCTTTGATTCCCTGTAAAATGAAACCTGCATCTATATGATTTTAATCTTCTTGGATGCATTGACTTAATGTTCAAGCTTTTAGTTATTTATAAAGGTAAATTCTTTGTTTAAGGCAGGAAGGATTAGAGAAAAAGCAATTGCTACTGTGTATGAATAATCATTGCATCTTCTAAAATAGTTCAAGTAGCAAATGGGTAGCAACTAATTTCATGGTACCACAAATTGAGGTGGGGAGCTACAGATTTCTAGAATAAATTCTGCCAAAAATTGCTACAGGAAAGGGTGTGCTTAGTCTGAATTTCCTGAAGGAGCCCTTCTAAGGAGTTTGCTGTTTCAATAATTTTAATCTTTGTAAGCCACCCAGAGTCACTTATGTGGAATGGGCAGCTATATAAATCAATCCAACAAGCAAATACAATGTACAGTATGTGCTACCTGCAGCTTTTATACTGCTAATACAGTATTTTTAAGAGACAGCTGTGAATTCAATTTAACTTTCAGATTCTATTTGTTCTTAGTGTTGCAGTTTGCATTCCTTCTTGTCATCAATCATCACTAGGAATAATTGCATCATGTCAGCTGAGAGGGCTCAAGCAGAGGACTTTAAATTTTTTCACTTTGAGTCTATGGATAGTAAAATATGATCTCGGGGGAGATAGGAGCCCAGCTATCTAATGTTGTATTTTATATTTTAGAATCCATGTCATACAGTATGCCTTATTTTAATTGTGATACTTCTGATACATCTGAATAAACAAACAGGAGCCAACCTATCTCCAATACACTATGTTTGATAAAATTAAAGCTTCACCAGGAGCTTTCCCTATCCTGATGTATTTAGCTTCTTCCTTACCTGATAGCAGAAGCCAGGCCTATAGGTGGTTATCTGCTAGTGGTGACCTTGCTGTCTCTACTTTGGAGGCCTTGATTTTGACCAAGGGAAACTGCTGATAAAAACATGCTCATATTAGTAGTCTGGAGATGAGATAGAGACAGATGTAGAATTGTATCCAAAACTTTATCAAAGTGAATCCAGCATCAGCTTTCCTACCCTACTTTGTCCCATGAGGATCTATCATAATAATTTATCTCTATTGATTAAGTCTGTTTTATTGTGAATCAATTGCTTACTCCCATGTACAGTCTTACTTAATCCACTACTAGGGCTCTTTGATGGAGATAAATGGAGTAGAAAATGCTTAATGTCTTGCTTCTTGTGGGAATAAGCTAATCCTAATGGTGTTGTATTTGGTTAAATATTACAGCTGACCAGGACTATTAAGGTTTTGTCTTTGGGAGGAAATGCTATTAACAATTACATGTTTTTCTTTTTCTTTTAGTGCCATTATGGTGTTCTGCTCGCCTCAGTTTAGCAATATGGGCCTTCTTTGGATTCTTCCTCTTGTATGCACTTCGTGTGAATTTAAGTGTTGCCCTCGTGGACATGATAGAACCAAATATAAGCTTGAACAAGAACATCTCCTCAAATGTGTGTCCAGAGCATTCTTCCACTTCAGGAGTTCCTCATAACACTACGGTAATTTTAACAAGTTTATGCAGATTTATGATACAATGTAATTATGATGCTTAATAAACTATCCCTTATCTTAGCACGATATATGTCAGGCTCCACTAATATCCTGGGTCAAGGACAGAGAACAGATATATCAGTGATCAGATTTAGTATAAGAGACTTATTTTATTTTTGTGCCTTTAACAATGCTCTTTGGACTGCTAACAAAAGTGTGTATTTTCAAGCATGGTAACATAATCAGTTGAATGCATTGATAAAAATAGAAAACAAACAAGAAAAAGATTTCAAAACAAAGTATATATTATTTACATTATTTAAAAACAATTTTATAGCACTTCTCTTTGACATATTGTAATAATTAAATTACCAAACAGTAAAAAAAAATATAGTTTTTGTAGTGGGTATACTTTGTAAGAAGCTTTTTTTCATGCATCATACTAATGAGCACGGAGATCACTATTACAGAAAATAGGATTTGTTAACCAGGCTGTAACTGAAAGCAAATTCCACAAAGGATCATATGGGAAAACACAATACTTTTTTTTTTTTTTTTGCTCTTATGATGTAGAAAATATTGACCAGACCTGCCTGCCTCTTCCTCTTTTTTTTTTTAGGGAAAAAGCTATTCTTGGGATGCTGATATGCAAGGCTGGATCCTTGGCTCCTTTTTCTATGGCTACATCATTACTCAGGTTCCTGGGGGATATCTGGCACGCCGATTTGGGGCAAAGCTGCTGCTGGGCTTTGGCATCTTGGGTACTGCTGTTTTCACCTTGTTCACACCGTTAGCAGCAGATTTAGGAGCTGGATTCCTCATAGGCGTCAGGGTTTTGGAAGGTCTGGGCGAGGTAATCTCTTGCTTTTCCTTTGATGTTGGCAAAACAGTGGGAAAGAAGGGGAAACGCCAAGTCAATAAATGACCACCACTCTTCATAGTTTTCTGACATGAGTGGCTCCTGGCTCCTCACTCTCTTAGTCTTGTCACAGAACTTTAACATGTTGGACTTGGACTTGACGGTTTCCTCTTTTCTCTCAGTTCTTCCGTGTTTCACATGAAAATTATGTGTGGAACACATTGTGCAAATAATGTGTTTTTTTTGTGAGTGCAACTGTATTATTTGTAAGGACAAGTATATTGTATGAAGTGTAAAGCACCACCTTTGTGAAAAATGGTAGCTATAAAGAGTGGTACACCGTTCTGTACCCAAATAATCCAACCCCGTCCAGTTCTGCTGCCTCATAGTAGTAGAAGGTGTTCCTGGGAGTGATAAGCAAAGAATGCCAAGAACATAAATCCCCAAAGTGAAAGCACGAAGGTCATCCCAGCTACTCAGCTAAAGTGAGCAGGCTCTGTATCAGGCAACAATGATATAAGAGGTCAAAGGCAAAAGGTCACTTTAGTGACACTGGCAAAGGCATCATTCCATACTGCTGGGAGAAGGCAGTGGTAAACCACTCTTGTCTGTTACCGTGAATCGACATGGGGATAGGCAATATAAAATTGTTCTGGGGAAGATTTTCTCTCTAACAAAATGGTTACTAAGTTGATGGCACATAATCAGGAAGTCCAAATCCTCAGTGGAATTCTGCATTTAATGCCATTTTCTTTTCTTTTTTTTTGGCAAATTTCAGCTTCATGGCTTACAGCAGGGGTGTCAAACTCAATTTCATTGAGGGCCGCATCAGCATTGCAGTTGTCCTTGGGGGGCTGGATAGGTATGGCCAGGGTGGGCATGGCCTACTGGGTGGGCGTGGCTGGAGTGGGTGTGGCCTACTGGGTGGGCATGGCCAGCTCTACATCGTTCGCGTCAAAGGTGCCTGTGGGGGCCTGGGCAGGAGTGGGACAGATCTGAGGGTCTTTGGCAGAAGGGGGTAGGACCAGGGCAAGCGCCAAAGCATGGTCCACTGGAAGAGCCTACTGAAACCCCTTCCCTGGAGCCCATCAAGCCGGATATGTGAAGTAGGCGAGGGCCATTTGCTGGCCACTTTCAGGCGATGGTGCATTTCTTCATTCCTCACAAAGGGTGACACCTCCCCAGCGCACGCCCAGGGTGCAGGGCCAACGCGGCAGAGGCCAGTCCCTTGCTGTTTCCAGATGGCCTTGTGGAGCTAAGACTGAATGCGTTTCAGCATAGATGGTCACCACAAAATTGTACATTGGCTCCCGGGCGGCCTGGGCCAAGCCCAAGGCAGTGGGGGCCATTCCATCACTGTTTCCAGAATGGCCGCGGGCCACATGAAACCACGTCATGGGCCGCATCCGGCCCCCAGGCCTTGTGTTTGACATGTCTGCCTTACAGGATTTAATGAAGGGCTTTCTTTTTTTCTACAGTTAATCATTTTCAAGGTGATCCAGTATTTTGGATCACATTTAATCATTAAATCAGATTCATAATGTAAAATTATGCCCAAATTATACGGGGGATGGGTGGCATAAAAATTTAATAGATAAAATAAAAAATACATCCTCTCATAGGAGTATCAGCAGAGTAAAACATTGACGAGTTGGCCAGAATAAAATATTGTTTAGTGTTCTTGAGAGGCATCCAAAGCAAAGGCCATTGTAAGAATAGACTCTGCTCATAGAATTCATCACCCTAGTGAACAACCAAAGATTAGTTTCTTAGAAGCTGATCATAAAAGTGTTTTAGAAGCTGATCATAAAACGGCTTATCCCTTTGCATCTTTGGATGCCTTTTTATCTTAAACATTATTGCTTATTCATTTTCATTTTAAATTCTGCATTACTTTTGCTGGGGGGATATAGCTTATTTAAGAATAAGGGTTATTTTTTTATATAAAGTTTCACTGCCTGATTACATTACATCATGCTTCACTACATATCAATATTTATGGTCTAGATTGAATATTTTGGTGGCTAAGACTTGGTAAAAATTGAGCATTCAGTATCATTATCCACAAAACATTTTCATCTGAAGGACTATGATGGGCAAGAAATTAGTTCTGCTTAATTGCTCTTCAGTTATGTGCACATGCTGAAAACAACAGCTTCATGCTAATATAACCAGTACTTTCCCAGGATTTATTGAAGAGAAACATTTCATTAAAATAAAATATTTTACCAATGAATGTCTATCTTGTTTTCGATATATATATTACACATATATATTACATGTATATATTACATTAGAAGCAAATATATTTTCCAGGGTGTAACGTTTCCAGCCATGCATGCCATGTGGTCTAATTGGGCTCCTCCATTAGAACGCAGTAAACTCCTTAGTATTTCATATGCAGGTAAGATTTCATACATATTTTTAGATTTGATCCTGGTTGACTGTGGGGTGGTCCCAAGAAGAACTTGCAGGGCTATGAATTTCCTCCCTTCCCTCATCCTGTATTCTTCCTGGTACTCGTGACCGTGGCTCACTGTAATGCAGGCCTTATCCTTAACTCTGTTGTTATTTTAGCCACACTTGATAAATAATTTGTTTACTAAGATACATACTGTCAGCATTTTAAAAAAATCTTTTAATTTGTAGGTGCACAGCTAGGAACAGTTGTCTCACTTCCGTTGTCTGGTATAATATGCTATTATGTAGATTGGAGTTACGTATTCTATATATTTGGTAAGTAGTCTCATTGCACATATAATTATTTGATTAAGGCTTTTTGTGTTTAATTCTAGAATAGTGCTGCTACTTAAACTATTGTATTATATTATACTTGTAAAGATGCTTTATTTTTTCATATCTCGGGAGGTTTTGATTGCTTTTATTAATTTTTTTCTGTCAGGGAAATTCAAGAATGCAAACTAGAGAAATTTAATGATTCCAAGCAATTGTGGGTTTGGGCTTGTATTTTCCTTAATAGTTCAGTCTTTGTGTAATAATCCTATTTTCTAAACATTTCCCTTTGTGTCTGTTTGTGCATCTGTGTGGGTATCTGCCTGTAGGTATGGTTCTCCTCTCCCAGCTGCTATCATTTTATATTTAACACCTTCAGCCATACCGGAGCCAACAGATCTAAAAGTTAATATGTTAAGTACTATGTGTTATGCGCTAACAATCGATTTTGATAAAGCTGGGACACATTGACACAAACTTGTAAACATCAAACATAAAACAATACTGTTGAAATGCCCTGTAACTTTTCAAGGTTTTTTTCTTGCAAAGGATTATTACGAGGCTCTTATATTCACATGCAGATAATTTTTAGTTAGTCTAGCCATAGAAATTTTTTTCTGCCTTCAACTTAAACACAGACACTTTCGTTCACTTTAAGGTACCTTAGGTGTATTGTGGTTCCTCTTCTGGATATGTATGGTTAGTGATACACCTGAAGCTCACAAGACTATTTCCTCTGCTGAAAAAGAATATATTCAGTCTACCCTTTCACAACAGGTATGAACCGTCAGCAAACAGTTACCATCTAGGTTAATTGCAATATAATGTATAAATATCCACTGTATATAGAAAAGGGAAAAGTAGTCCTTAAATATGCTTTTAATCATGCTAATTTAAAAAAAATAAAACTAAGGGTTAATCCTTAACTAAGGGTTACATTCATCTTCCAAAACAAATTCTTCAGACCTCTGATTTTCATTTTAAGTTAGCACAGTCTAACAAACTATAGTGAAATGATGGTAGATATTCTCCAATGAAAGAGATTTAGACTCAATAAAATATAGTACCTGATCATATAGCCTGTTTTTTATATTGTATCTCTGTGTCAAAAAATTGTTATGTCAGAATTTAATCCTTCATAATGCTGAATAACATTCTTTAAAAATTAAATTCCTTGAGATCTAAAGGTTTTGAATGTCAATATGAATTTATTTCCTTCCGTTTAGCTTTCTACCCAAAAATATGTGCCTTGGAAAGCCATGTTGAAATCTGTTCCGGTGTGGGCCATTGTTGTTGCACACTTTTCTTATAATTGGACATTCTACACTCTCCTTACCCTGCTGCCTACATACATGAAGGAGATTTTGAGATTTGATGTGCAGGAGGTAGGCCACCCTATGCATTCCAATTTTACAAAGATTAACTTTAATCCTAAAGTGGTACAACCATGAGTCTAGATTCAGGAGGCTTTATAAACTGTATTAGTCTGTGGTAATTCAATTAATATCTAGACTGGATGAGAATTGGATTCCCAAACTTAGGCCCATTCTTGCATTTCTGTCTATGTGTCTGTTCAACAGAGGTTCAGGTTTTTGTAAGAACCAAAGTATTACATAATCTTCCTAGGATATGGCTATACTTAAATTACTGTGTGTGTACTCCTGGAGAATTCATTCTAGTTATCAAATCAGAGATTTGGGGCAAATC